AAAAAAAAAAAAAAAAAAGACCCTGCAGGTGGATTGTTATTAAGACCTTTCCAGGAATGTTTTCAAGACCTTCCAAGTGGGCTATTTTGAGAACAGTTAATTAAGACTCAAGGAGACTTTTAAGAAGCACCTGATATGCCTGAAAGTTATGTACAAAACCCATAGGAGTGCTTTCCATGTTGTCTGCAGTCACTAGGACAAGGCCTGGCTTGCTGTGTAGGTCGATAATAATTTTTTTTTTCACTTTTTTTTCACTTCAGTTTTATTTATTCATGATTTCTGTCCTGTCTTATTCCCCCTCTTCCTCTCAAGGCTATAGATGTGAATTGGAGAAGGGAGGGAAAAGGGAAGCAGAAAATGTGAAGGCAAAAAAAAAAATCCTATGTTTTCTGTAATTTTATTTCAATTAGACATCATCTTTTCATTGCTTGCATACCAGATTTTAGGCTATACTACAAAGCCATAGTTGTCAAGACAGCATGGTACTGGCACAAAAATCGAGACATAGACATTTGGAATCTAATAGAAAATCAGGAAATAAAACTTACAATCACCTAATCTTTGATAAACCAAACAAGAACATATACTGGGAGAAAGAATCCCTATTCAATAAATGGTGCTGGGAGAACTGGATTTACACATGCAAAAAACTGAAACTGGACCCACACCCTAGGTAGAGTGCCATGATATCACAGCTCACAGCATCCTCCAGCTCTTGGGCTTAGGTGATTCTCTTGCCTTAGTCTCTCGAGTAGCTGGGACTACAGGTGCCTGCCACAATGCCTGGCTATTTTTTGTTGCAGTTTGGCTGGGGCTGGGTTTGAACCTGCCACCCTCTGTATATGGGGCCGGCGCCCTACTCACTGAGCCACAGGCGCTGCCCAGGACCCCACCTCTTTCCATTCACAAAAATTGATTCAAGATGGATAAAGGACTTAAATTTAAGGTATGAAACAATAAAAATCCTCAAAGAAAGCATAGGAAAAACACTGGAAGATATCAGCCTGGGGAAAGACTTTATGAAGAAGACTTCCATGGCAATTGCAACAACAACAAAATAAACAACAAAAATAAACAAATTAATTTAACTGAAAAGCTTCTGTATAGCTAAGGAGACAACAATCAAAGCAAATAGACAAACTACACAATGGGAAAGGATAGTTGCATATTTTCAATCAGCAAAAGCTTGATAACTAGACAAAAGCTTAATCCACATGAAAAAAGCCAACGATCTTGTATATCAATGGGCAAGAGAGAGTCTTCTCAAAGGAGAACAGAAGAATGGCTAGCATGAAAAAATGCTCATCATCCTAATTATTAAAGAAATGCATATCAAAACCACCCTGAGATATCATCTAACCCCAGTGAGAATGGCCCACATCACAAAATCTCAAAACTGCAGGTGCTGGCATGGATGTGCAAGGAAAGGAACACTTTGACACTGCTGGTGGGACTGCAAACTGATACAACCTTTTTGGAAGGAAGTATGGAAAACCCTCAAAGAACTCAAGCTAGACCTCCCATTTGATCCTGCAATCCCATTACTGGGCATCTATCCAGAAGGGAAAAAAAAAAATCCTTTTATCACAAGGACATTCACACTGGACTGTTTTTTGCAGCTCAATTTACAATTGCCAAAATGTGGAAACAGCCTAAATGCCCCCCAACCCAGGAATGGACTAACAAGCTGTGGTATATGTATAAAGCTATTTTAAAAGATGGAGATGTCACATCCTTTGTATTAACCTGGATGGAAGTAGAACACGTTATTCTTAGTAGCATCACAAGAATGGAAAGGCACGAATCCTATGTACTCAATTTTGATCTGAGGACAATTCATGACCTAATACATGGTGTTGGGTGGGGGAAGAGGAGAGCAGAAAGAGAGAGAAGGTGGGAGGGGGTGGGGAAAGGAAGAACAGAGAGAGGGAAGGAGGGGGGTGGGGTCTCAGTGTGTGACACACCTTTTGGGGAGCAAGACACAATTGTAAGAGGGACTTTACCTAACAAATGCAATCAGTGTAACCTGGTTTCTTGTACCCTCAATGAATCCCCAACGATAAAATAAAATAAAACCCAACCCAGCTCAAAGTCAACAAAACAAAACAAAAAAGATTCCATTCATCCTGAGTGTTTGCTACTGAGCTCATCGTTTTTCTGCTAGCACTTTTATTATTTTCATGTCTTTTTCTTCTCCCAGTTTTACTAAACTGTAATTAACAAATAAACATTGTGTACATTTATGGTGTACGACATGACGCTTTTATATAGCTGCACATCGTAAAACACTTACCATAATCACACTGGCTGACATATTCACCCCCTGGCATGGTTGTATGTGTGTGTGAGAGAGATTAGAATACTTTAAGATCTACTCTCTTAGCAAATTTCAACCATACAATACAGACCTGGTAAGTAGAATCACCAGGCAGTACATGAGGGCTCTAGAACTTGCTCATCCTGTATAACTGGATGTTTGTACCCTTTGACCAACATCCTTCCACCCCCCACCCCACCCCAATACCACCACCCTATTCTCTCTGAGTTTGACTTTTTTAGGTTGCTGCTGCCTATTTTTAATCTAACCTTCAAAAGCAAAACCTGCAAACAATGAAGAGATGCTGTCTAATTGAAATAAAATTACAGAAAACATTCGATAAAATCCAGCATCCTTTTCTAATTGGAACACTGAAGAGTACAGGCACAGATGGCACATTTCTTAAACTGATCGAAGCTATCTATGACAAACCCACACAGCTAATATTTTACTGAATGGAGTGAAACTGAAAGCTTTTCCACTAGCAACTGGAACCAGACAAGGTTGTCCGATGTCGCCATTACTATTCAACATAGTGCTGGAAGTTCTAGCCAATACAATTAAGCAAGAGAAGGAAATAAAGGGCATCCCAATGGGAACAGAGGAGGTCAAACTCTCCCTCTTTGCTGATGATATGATCTTAGAGAACCCCAAATATTCAACCACAAGACTCCTAGAAGTCATCAAAAAAAAAAAATACAGTAATGTCTCAAGATATAAAATCAATATCCACAAGTCAGTAGCCTTTGTACACGCCAATAACAGCCAAGATGAAAGGCTAATTAAGGACACAACTCCCTTTACCACAGCTTCAAAGAAAATGAAATACCTAGGAATATACCTAATAAAAGAGGTAAAGGACCTCTATAAAGACAATTATGAAACCCTAAGAAAGGAAATAGCAGAGGATATTAACAAATGGAAGAACATACTATGTTAATGGCTGGGAAGAATTGACATTATTAAAATGTATATACTTCCCAAAGCAATCTGCCAATTCAACGCCATCCCTATTAAAATACCAACATCATACTTTTAAGACTTGGGAAAAATGATTCTTTGTATTGTATGGAACCAGAAAAAAACCCATATAGCTAAGGCAATTCTTAGTAATAAAAACAAAGGGAAAAATACAAAAAGAAGACATTTTAATTCTAAATATTGATGCACCCAACTTAAATGCTCCCAGATTCTTGAAATAATTAGTCTGAGCAATATGATATCCTATAACACCATAGCAACAGGGGACTCCTCTTACAGACAGATGCTCTAAACAGAAATTAAACAAAGATATAAGAGACTTAAATGAGACCCTAGAACAACTGTGTGTGATAGACATATATAGAACACTCCATCCCAAAGCTAAAGAATATACATTTTTCTCATCAGCCCATGGAACATACTCCAAAGTTGATCATATCCTAGGACACAAAACAAACCTCAATAGAATCAAAAGAATTGAAATTTTACCTTGGATCTTCTCAGACCACAAGGCACTAAAGGTGGAACTCAACTCCAACAAAACATTCAACCACACAAAGACATGGAAATTAAACAACATTATGCTGAATGACAGTTGGGTGCAGGAAGAAATAAAAGAGGAAATGATTAATTTCCTTGAGCATAACAACAATGAAGAGACAAGCTACCAAAACCTGTGGGAAACAGGAAAAGCAATCCTGTAAGGAAAATTTATCACTGTAGATGCCTACATTCGAAAAACACAAAAAGAGCGCATCAACAAACTGACAAG